CAACAGAGTAACAAATCCAGACTGATACGCAAAATTTTCTTCTTTGTGATGGCAACCAGCGCCTCACATTAGCTGGATGCCCTCTTTGAACTGCGAGCTTAAACTGCAATCCATGGAAATAATTGTTCGAGGCACGAGTCTTGCCGAACATTATCCACTTAAAGTAATGCACTGTCCATTTTTGGTCCGTGGTTTCGGTAAGATCATGGAGGTTTTTCATTGCTTCACCAGCTATAACGCATAGTCTACGAATGACTTTCACTCTTCTTGAGCTGTTTTAAAACACTACAATTTTTTGGTTTATTTTCACGTTTGGTGTAACAGAAAGCAAATTATAGGGAGTATGACTGAGAATGCGCTCTCCTCCGTGGTCGGAGAGAGAACCGAAGGTCTGCCCTAAAATGCTTTAGTGCGTAGCCCAAACTTGCATCTTAAGATGTGTCAATCGAATTCGTGCATTCCATTCTTATAAAGTAATTTGGTGTTTCACACATTTATTGTCTTACAAATTGATAGGTGGAAACATTTTGTGGCAGTCGAAGTGACTGGCATCTACCACTTTCAGAAAACTGATGGAACGAGTTTGTTATTTACATCTTTGCCAAAAAAGGAAAGCCTATAAAAACCCACCAAGTTTTGTAGATCATTTCAAGGCAAATAATCTCACCTTGTCAGCAAGTGACTTTATGAAGTTTAAGCGAACCAATCAATTAACTGTAACAAGCCATCAATTTGCGCAGGCACTGCTGTAGTCTGCAGTAGCCATTGCTAAGGCGTCACGCAAGGAACTGAACTTTAACCACACAAAAATAATAACAAAGCACCATCTGCTCTCTTATTCCTGCAAATCAGAGGGTCAAAAGTGAGCAGTTGGGATGGCTCACACAATCCTTGGCCTTCCTAAAAGTGCAAACACCTCCACCCCGAGAGGAGAGGAAAGCGAGTAAATTAGGCAAATTTAAACTGAGTACATAAATAGTATCACGATTGTAGGTTTAAGGAAAACATTCATTAACGCATCCAAATAGTAGAATGGATCGGTCTCTTTCACGATCAGCCCTCAAAGAGCATCCTAAAAGGCTTTCACCTTCACAGCGTAGAAGTTCAACGCCTATGAACTGGCAGTATGTCGAGGAGTCGCGCTTGCACCTAAGCGTTGGAGCAGCATTTCCAGATATTCGAGTTTATATTCGAGTTTGAATGAGAACGCATAAACCGTAGGAAAGGCAAAAAAAGCACTACCTGCACAAATTACAGTTTCCACCTCAAGTACTCCCATGGTGGTCTTAGGCATCAAGAGGGTAGATGGTGAATTTTGTGGTAGGGCTTTTGTTGTTTTGCCCAATAAAGCAAGAAGAGAAAGAACGAATTTGGACGAAACTGCTGAAGAGATTATGAGCCGCAGTTTGTAGCTGTAAAAATTTTGAAACTGTAAAGCAAACAGAGCCGGCACAACGGTAAATAATTAAAGTGACTATTTTTTATGTCATCTGAAATTTTTAGGAGTTAACACACCGAGGGATATCGCCGAGCAGTAGCGCAATGTTGGTTCGTTAAAACTAAACTAACTAAAACGGATTATCAAAGTGTTGTACACTCCCTCCCATCGACTTCTCTTGACTGTCGTTGTGTGCTATTCACATGTTTAACCTCCAGCTTCAAACATCACAACGTAGCCGGTACTAATAAAATAAGGCAACCACAGACTAGCCTACTTTGATGGGCATCAAAATCGCGTACAACTAAGAAGATAATTGGTTATCAAAATAACCGGTGATTTTTACTGGATTTGTGGTTCCGTCCTGTCAAAGAGGTGGCCGTTACTACTAATTAAGAACGCCGACTCAAAGGACGGAATCACGTAACAAAGGTTGGTGTTTGAAACAGCCCCATAAGGATAAGATAATGCATCTCCTCCTTCTTGCCACGTTGCCGTCACCTCAGTACCACCCAGCCATATATCCAGCCAGTGAGAGTATGCAGGCAGTAATTCGTGTTCACTGAAATGTCACATTTAAACAGGTGGTGGACAGTTCCATGACGAACTTCTCTAGTGGGTTTGCGTCTTGCGTTGCTGACTTCCATTGTTAAGAGTCTTCCCGTTTCACAGCTGTTGTAGACAAGCGTTATTTTCAGCCTTTATGTTAGGGATCATCACAAATTTTCCCATCTGCATTGTGGCGGAGACTGAAAATGGGGCTCGTTGTCTACTTGAACGAAATTCGTTTTCTACAGGCACTGATGCAGAGCTCCGATTCCTTGCTGAAGAACACGTATGGTAAAGGTGAGGGGGAGGGACGGAAACGGTAATACGGAAGTGGCCTTGAAACCACAACTAAGACCTAAACAAACAATTGGAGCATGTTCGAACCGTAGTGCAAGCTTACGAAAAAAAGGCGAGGCCAGAAAACTGTACGGATCAGGGCAGAGTGTTGTAAAAATCATGCAAACACCTTTATCACCTCAATTCACCACTCCACCAATGACATGATTCCTTATCATTCAAGTCTGCAACTCTCCAGACTCTCAGCAATCCATAACCTGCACCAACATAAAAATATTTCTTGAAACCTTCAAAACCTTGTTTTCGATAACTGGTAAGAAGATGAGCTTTAAACTGGTGAGAAGCACTGGAACCAAAGCGATGCAGCACAATGCAGTAGTCACCATCCTGGTGCTACTTCAACAACTACGCAGTTACCTCATTCTCCACGCACTTCAACATCGCATTCAATTTTGTAGGAGATCGCCTTTCGAAACTGGTGCTAACTGAGACAAATAAAAAATCACTGGGACGATTTCCACATGCCTGTAAAAAATGACTTACGTTGATGGGAATCTGAGACCTAAGAAGCTGTTCTGGGTGCCTCCACCCTGGTTGCGCTTGGGGGGAGAGAGGGAGGGAGAAGGGGAGGAGGAAAGGGTGGGGCAAGGAGTCTGCACTTGATTCCAAAACTCCGATGGAGTAGATTATGCAACATTTATGCATTTTATTGTGATGCTGAGTAGATGTGTATGTATGTGCTCTTTTTGCCAGCCACTCAATATTTTGCAGACCAAATTCATCTTAGCAATCAAAAGTTGAATATCTTTGCGATTAGGCTAAAAATACACCCAGATGAAACAATGCAATAACAAACCTTATACGAGGAAGCAACCTTCATTCACGGAAGAGAAATGTTGTATTACAAATTTTCCTTCCTCTTGGATAGCGTTAGCACGATTTTTGAGGTGACATTAAGGTTAGTGATGAAGATCAAGTAAGTCGTGAATTGATTGGCTAACAGTCATCAAGGCGAAAGGAGCTCAATTTAACCACAAAACCAAAAAAAGTGCAATAGCAATTTAGGCTGGCTAAAAGAAGACCTTTACGCGACTATCAGGTCATTGCAAAACAAAGAAAGATGACAATGCCAGATACATGCAAATCTCCATTAAATGGAGCCGTATTCGGTTGATAAGCGAATCGGGATCACGGTAGCCCTTCACCTGAGCAGCTGGGCTAACTGATCCTCAAAGGCGGTATGATCCATTAAACCCCAAATTGTCAAGCACCACGTAAGGCAGTTTAGCCGAATTTTGCTGTAAAACAAATTATGAACCTCTTGGCCCTCCCTCAGTTCTAAGAACGGTTTGTGGCTCGCATGCAGGAAAGGGCGGTGGCGCCAAGACCTACCGGAATGCACAAGAAGCCATAATGGGGGAGGAGATTACGCACTGTTAATCCACAGGAGGGACACCAATGTAGCCTACAGAGCAAATCACCTACATGAGGTACAATAACGCAGGAAAAATCGTTTCGTCGCCAAACACTCATGACCTCTGCCTTGTGAAACATCGTGCCTGCGTCTGGGACTATTCATGCGCCAGACTGGAGACCATCCTGTCATCATTTTCATCATCTTGACACAGGAATAGTTTTCACCGATAACTGTGTTAATTCTGGTGCCTTTAAGTGTCAACAGACATTATTCTACACTTGATGACTCATGGTTTCCTTCAGTGCTTCTCTATTCAAAAAATCACAATTTCACTGCATCAATTCAAACATCAGACTCGATCACGTCATTTATGACGCTCAAAACGATGACTCAACAAGCACTTTAGTCTGAATCTGCGTAAAATTAATATTAATCGCTGCCACTCACCTGGCAACTCCAGTCAAAGCCTCGTTGAACCGTTTAAGGACGTATGATTCCTCCAATTGCAGCAAGTTGATGATATTTGTGCATCCGAAAACTGTGTTGACCAAAGTTACTTCGCTGTTCCACTCCTACGTTGGATTGGGCACAGCATCTGCATGGGGCAATACATAGCCGATCTAGTCATCGAAGACAGCAATAAAGAACATCACACAGTTGTTATACCCAGACCAGACCTCACCCATGCACAAGAAGACGCGATTTTAAATTGAATAACTGTGCTCAAATCCAACGTAGTAATCGGATCAACGATCTTTGTGACTGAAGCACCCCTTTCAAAGACGCATGAAATCGCTTCCGATATTTCCATAGGTTCCCAGTAAACCAACCAGCATTCCTCAATTTTGAGCAGACCAAAATCAGTCTAGACTAACCCCTCCCTCTCCCCACCAAAAACTCCACTTATAATCGCGTGGCGGTTGACAATCTTCTCTGCGCGTTTTTGCGTTGTGCACATGGATGGGCATATTTATTGGCTTGAGAGGAGAGTACATAGACGCGTGTCTCTTGTTCGCCTAAGTTAGGGGAAAGGAAGTAGGCAAAGAGGAGGAGCAAAATATATGTATACGCAGCATGCTTACAGACAAGCAAGCAGGCAGACAGTCAGTAGAACAATGTTTCAACCTCACTGGTCACAAAACGGACAAGCGAGGCAGGAAGAAGGGAAGGTCAAAGAGGGAAATAGCACTGTACAGTGGGAGGGGGATAGGAGAGCCAATTTAGCCACAAGCATTCTTATATTTTTCCTCTTCCGATTACATACACTTTTGTACAGGGGAGGAACGAGGAGTGGAATGGTCAACGGTATTCACCACCTCCACTACTAGTGGTGTCATAGAGATGGGAGAAATGAGGCGGAGGTGGAGGCGGTGCAGCACGAGGTGTTTCGCCCATAAACGCAGAATTGGAGGACTGTGTTGAGGACATAATATAACCTCGATGTTGGGCCTGCGTTATTGTTTCTCCCACCATCGCCGAGGTCGACATGGAAGGAGCAGGAGCGGATGTCGAAGAGCTCATCATCTGAATCATCATCTGTGGCGGTGGTGGCTGGGGTGGAGGGGCTTTGGTGCCCTGGGGACGACCAGGGTAAGGTGGGGGATCAGGTACAACCTGTTGTGACTGGTTACTGCTCCCCATATATCGCTGCTGACGCTGATGTCGCAGCTGAGAGTCCATGTTAGCAAAGTCAGGAACAAAAGGCCCACCAGTACAAGATTGAGGTGGCATCATCTCGGAGAAACCAAAGTTTGGTTCGCCACCACCACCTCCTCCCCTGAATCTAAATTAGCAACAAAACAATAACCTTAAACTTTTTATTACGTTGGCCCTCACAATGCCTCAACTTTCCAAAACAAAAATATTTAAATACCTATTGCGTGTTGGTATAGCTGGATAATGCCTTTCTTCTAGCCAAGAAGCCTGGTGGACGGACAATATCCCTCGTAAAATCTTGCACAGAATACTAAATACGGTCAAGACGCCAAACATGGCGATTACTCAACTGAGAGTGGTTTGCATATCAAGTTGTCGACTGGAGTTACGTTCACATCTTTTACATGCCTGTTCTCCCAACCCTTGCACGTCGAGAACAAAGCGACTTCTAAAATTGCTTTCCATTACATCTTGATAAAGACTAAAACTCAAAATTGGTGGCAACATGGAGCCCGAATTTTGTTGGCGAGATGGACCATTGATCGTGAGTGACCAAACCTACAGAGCCATCCTACTTGGATTATTTGGGACCACTGTTGTCGCGAATTGTGTTTAATAGTTGGTTTCTGAATTACATCAAGGTCAAACGAATTAGAATCGTTCCTGAAAACACGTTTCGTCGCATTTCAAGGAAATAATAATCAAGAGATGCGAAAGGATCATTAATATACTCTAGCTCCTTTCCTGTTGGCGATGTTGACACACAAGACTTGTCCAGATGGCTCGAACAGGAAATGACTAAGAGGTTCTGGCGTAAATAATGAGCAATCTTCAGTTCGAGCTAGTGGCATGAAGCGTTCCAGGGAGTAAGAATTTCTTCGGACCAGCGGACCGCATAACACTAAGGGACTAGTCTCCAGACTGACAATAAAGCTGTAGTTATATTTTCCAGTTGTTTACATAAATCTAACGGCAGTAAAATATGCGGTATTATTTGATGTACACATGCATGGCAGAAAAAGATAGAGCGCATTTATACATAGAATAGACGTAAAGAGGCTAGGGGAGGAGATGCAGTTAGTGGAGTAAAGGCTGAGACACCTAATGGCAACATATCTTTATTTAACAAACACCCACACCTACTGCTTGCCTCTCGCGTTCTGTTTAGCATAATGCTTAAATCAGAACATCCCAGAGCATAAACAAAGGGGCTTCATGAAAAACCACTTACCTGGAATCTTGCTGCTGTTGTTGCTGTGAGAACTGTTCCTCCATGGGCATAACTCCAGCTGCAAACGCAGCAGCCATCTGCTGCTGCTGAGCTGCCTTGTGTTGAGCTTTGACTTGATTTTGTACAAAATCCGACAAATTTTGGCGCTGAGTAGGCACTCGACCGCTACCACCAGCAGCAGATGACGTCCTACTCCCACCCCAGGCTTGTTGCTGCGATGGGATTGGGATTGCACCATTGTCATAACTCCTCGGTGGAGGTGCCACACCACGTCGCATTGATGAACCCGATGCTGCTGCCGCTGCACCACCACCACCACCACCACCACCCACAATTCCAGTCATGCGTTTTCTCTTTCCCGTCACTGCAGTAGGCGCCGTTGTGGTAGTAGCTGCAGCTACTGATTCGGCAGCCTGAGCTACAGCCATTGCTGAAGAAGTTTGCGGGGGAGGATACATGCCCTGGTGGTACATCTGTGGCGGAGGAGGAGGAGGAGGAGGCAACAGCATCTCTTCTTGCTGTTGAGCTGTTGCTCGATTTCGCTTACGTTTAGTTGACTGTTGGGACGGAGCTTGCATGCGCATTTGAGTCGGAGGCAGCGATAGTTGTGGTGGCGCTTGTTGCTGCTGTTGGCGGTAGATTAGGTCTTCAGGCTTCGATAAACGTTGATTTTGTTGAGTCATACGTCTTGGCATGCCCTCGATGCCCGAATGCCGCTTCATCGACGGAACGGATCCAAGAATGAATTGCTTGGATGAGGAGTCAATTGAAGAAGGAGAAGGTGCGGCTGTTGTGGATGTGGAAGAAGCAAGAGACTCAGCTTCGTGAAAGAGTGACTGGAGATAGAACTCCTCCGACCTTCGGTGAGTGATCGGGTGTTCGTGACTCATCAAAATATTGGCCTGTTCCTCATCTCGAGACTGAGTAGCTGGTACTTGAACGGCTCCACACATAGCAAGAAAGGTTGATCGTCGATTAACGTCATAAATCTCCCATGGTGCAAAACGATCACGACTCACAAAAGCATATCCCCGTTTGCGAGTAAAGGTTTTTACACCACCACCTCCAGAGGATGGGGTTCCGTTATTATTTCCAGAATTGGTGGTGGCTGAAGTGGACCCACTCCCAACGCCACTTCCGCCACCTCCACTGTACCTTGATGTATTCGCCCCACCTGACTTTCCACTCGACTTGAAGGAAGCAAATTTCGAAGACCCACCTAGCTTCCCTGCTCCGCCTCCGCCATCGCCACGATTACCCGACCCTGCGGTGCCATCAAGGGGTGTCACAGCCACGAAGGGATAGCCAGTGCGACCAATGAAGAGAAGTGGCCGGATATACTCTATCCCAACGGTAAAATGGCGCTCAGCCAATTTTTTCCGAACTTTCTTGGCCAGATTCTGGTACTGGGGATTGTCAGGACCCACCTGAGCCGCCAGATTGTGCACTAAACTGTGGAGCATGTCAAGGCAAGTGAAAAAGAGGGTCCGATTGGAATGGGGTTCCGTAACCCCGAACCCAATGAGTTGGGCCAGAATAAGAGCCCCACTGACCAGACGATCTGTGGTGAGGTTCATAGAAGAGAGACAAATGCCTAGAAGCGAAAGGCGAAGGGCTAGACACTCCTGTAGAATGTGCCTTGTGCGTAAGTTCTCAGGCATCCGATCACGCGTCTCCCTAACACCTGAGACAAAGTACTCCAGCTGCTCATAGAGGCGCTCTAGTGGGTCCACGGTCTCCATGCAGACGTGGAGAATAGAGGAGAAGACAGGATGAGCAAGAAGAATAGAGTGTTGCATTACTATGCGCTCCTGATCTTCGTCGTTCTTATGCCGCCAGAAGAGTTTGATCCCATTAAGTATCTAAATCCAATTAAAAGAATAATTCGAGAATGTTTAGATTACTATAAGCCATGTTTAGAGACACTACAGCTACTCTAAACAAGCAAAAAGAGATGACTTACATCACAAGTCTTGGTAACAATCTGCATTTTGAGTTCATGTGGTAACTTTGCAATTAGAGAGGGTAGAAGCCAGCTATTATCGCTTTCGGGGATTTCAATATCCGGCAGAGCCTCAGGTAACTGCTCGCCAAAATTCGAGGTCGAAAATGCACCCATTTGGGTGGGTTTTAAATAAGCTAGCGCCTGCTCATTGAAGCCCGTAACAATTCGATTAGCTACCTGATCCAAGGCCTCCTTCGAGGAAGTAAAAGAGATTTGACGGCAGAGGAGATTTAGCTCCATCAGTGTTGCATGCAGAGACCAAACGTTGACGCTAGAGATCAGCGAGAGCATTGCCTCGGCTATGTTGTCCGAAGTGGCAGCCAAATCGACCCACTTTACATCGTGTGGATGATAGATGATATGTAGGAGAAAGCGGGTCTGATTACTCGAAATTACTTTATCAATTAAGACGTTTTCTTGCAGTAAGCGTGTCGATATAAGGTAGAAGTACTCCCGTACCCATGGTGTAGCACAAATCTCACGCAACACGAGGTGCGCAAAGTCGCGAAGCGACATATCTCTCAACTCAGAGTCGCTAGGTGGCTGACCAGTAGTGAGAAAGGCACAGGTACTCTGGTGGATTGAACTAGCAAGGCGATTCTTACGGCGGATGTTCAGTAAATTTGCTCCAGAAGTGCTACGTCGTGCATTAGCTCCACGCCGCCGCTTATTTTTCGACGATGCTAAGTGCACTCGGCGCCGTTTGCGCTTGTTCTTTGAGACCGGTGGACCATCCATCAAATCAAACCCGTCGGCCGGATCAAGAGAGATGTCAGCGGGACCATCATCTGTCTCTCGTTCAGAGTCCCTATCATTGTCTGACGAGTTATCGTCCGAACCTGCAGCGCTCCCGTCCTCTCCAGCTTCATCGAGCAACTCCAATGGTTTTCCTTTATTACTGTGAATCATTAGCATCTTCAGAGTGTCTATAAAAAGGGCATAGTTCACACGACGAAGCGCACTGAAGAGAAGAGAGGGTTCCGATACTCTGAAGGAGGAAGGTTGCCCTTCCTGTGTTGTCGTCTCTACTGTGAAGAGTCGATGAAGAATGTGGCATGCAAGACGAACGGTAGGCTCGGAGCGTGAATCAATGGGTGCGGAGCTCTGATCAAGGCCAAGAGCAAGGGCGGGATTGATGAGTTTATCGAAGAGCTTCTCCGTGTCGATGCAATGATGAACTAAAAGGGTTCCAATCAGCGAAGCGAGGTTATCCCATCCCAATGGATCATCTAACTGGCTACCTATCTCAGAATTAAAACCCTGGACACCTGAAGAGGCAACTGAGGATGAGATGCCAACACCACTGCCGCGCTGGGAAGGATTAACAAGTGCAGCCATGGCTGGTAGCCACTCAAGAGCAAGTTCGGGACACTGGACAGAGTAATCAACGAAACGATCACAGAGAGCTGCAAGGCGATCCGGATCGCGGCATTGAAGCACGCCTTTCAACGTTTCATCAACAAGGGTCTTACAATCATCTGAATAAGCTTGCAGTCTTCGCAGAATTTCCAAGGTTTGCGAATTCATTGTAATTTGATGTTGAGACAACTCAGAGGCAGAAAGGGATAGAGAGGTAGGGAAATGGCGTTTTACATAGGCACTGGAGTGGTAAAGGCTTTTTAAGTACTCAAAAATGCACCGTTTGCTCTGAAGTTTCTCCTGTGTGCCTCGACGAAGTTGCTCACGCAGGCAAGTAAGAATTCGCTGTTGTAGGCTCGGCTGAGTTATCAGAACCGCTTGATGGGCACGAAGGATGCCAATAGCACGCAGCCAGATGAGGGAGAGGTACGAGCTCATGCAAGGGTATGGAGCCGAGAGAGATGAGGCCTGAAGGCGTTCCAGTGTTTCCACAACCGTATCTAAGAGAGTAAGGATGTTGAGCGAGATTTCAATCAACTCCAAGAAGAGAAAGATGCTGTTATGAGCCGGATAATAGATGTGATCTCGACTTGAATTAGGAGCGGAAGGTGACGACGCAGCGATTCCGCCAGAGTCGGCAGCAAGAGGGTCACCACTGCCACTTGTAACGGTAGTACTAGTGGAGGTGGTGCCTGACAGTGATCGCAGGTATGCAGGCATGCTTTTGGATATTACATACTCCATGTCATAGTAGTTAAGATTACGAAATCGTGTTGATATTGCTTCAAGCAGTTCTTCCAATGACCGCGTTTCTTTGGAACCACTGCTACCACGCTGAGCCCCGTTTGGTGTGGCGTTAACATCTGCTACCCTCTCCTTATTCTTCTTCCTCTTCCCCAACTCCCCATGCACCACGTCAAGACGATGCGCACTCCTCGTAAAGAGCTTGACAATGTCTCGAGACACCTTTCGAGGGGTTTCTCGCGCTCTTGAATGGGCTCTAGCACTGCTTCCATAAAGCAGCTGAGCTCGTTGATTTTGTTCGTGTGCGTAAGAATCGTCCTGGGGTAATGGAAAGTGGATAAGATACTGCAGGTGACGGTTAAGATCACAGGAGTGCCGCTGAGGCAAACCACCGCCGAGATCGGAACGCACGGAGTCAGGGTTGTCCACACTATTACGATCGTTTTCCTCGGATATCTCTGATTGCACTGAGAAGTTGTTACTTAGAGAAGAAGGATGGAGGACGGCTGTAGTGGTCGGTGGAGGAAGGGCAGATGAAGAGGTGAGAGAGAGAGGAACCGAATCAGCGTTAGCAAGGGGATGAAATGAGCTGTCAAAGACACCTCGAGCGATATAAGTCCGCACAAAAGCATCGTGATTGAAAAGACCTCGGTCAATGAGTTCAGCAAAGAGGCAGACGAGGGAACGAAAACCAGGTCCGTCGACATTTGGACTGGAAGGAGCGTAAGCGTCGAGGAATGCGAGGAAGCAGTTTTGGAAATTAAAGGCTGGCAATTTGGAGTAGAGGTAGTCAAGAAGGCAAGCCAGAATGATGGAACGATGAATGCCAGTGCGTGAGGGCGAGACAGCCCACTTGCAAAGAAAAGTGACTAATGCAGTGACTGCTTGTGACGACTCAAGGTGTTCGGAGTGGAAAAGTTTCTTAAAGAGGCTGTCGATAGGATGTGTTTCCATGCTCTGGTTAAAGTCATGCGAGTCCAGTTCGTCCAAGACACGAACAAACATTTCCGTCTAAAATAATGAGTTGCAAAATCAAAAATGCTAGCTTCAAACAGAGGCGTATTTTTTTGCCAGCACAGTCACACGTGCAACACACCAACGTTCTCATCTGAAGGCCGCGTCTCAGATGTTTGACATGAGCTCTTTGTTATTTTGTGATAATCAGTTGCACAAGCAAACGGGTAGGTTTATGTGCAATAAAAGAAGTGGTATGTTCTCGGTCAATATGTAATCGTACCCTTAACTTGAAATGACAAAACAGGTGCGTGATTCCACTATGAAATTCTAATAGCGAATATATCAATGACTGAGCATTCGCCCGAACATAAATAAGGTCGGAACCAAAAAGTAGGAAATCAAATGGCTCAAAAAATCGAGTTGCAGACGAGATCACACGATTTTTAAAGATTTAAAAGCCCTAATTGAGAAATCGCGCGAAGAGGCAGTACATATAAATTTGAATTGATTTAAAGACGGCTGCATTTTTAAACACAATGTTAGAGTATCAAATAAGCCTTTGCATCATCAAAACCAGGAATCGACAATGTCCCTAAGTGGTATTTGAAGAAAACGAAATCATTACCAGGTCAGCACAACAGCGACTAGAACCAACAGGGACAGGTATAAAAAAGGCTGCATACATTCGTTTCATTTGTACATTCCTCAGAAGTGATTGTTCGCGAAGGAAACAAGTACCATCCACTTTCAGCCAATCTGCCGCGTTCCAGAAGGACGGCCTCAGTTTCCACCAGACACTTTCGAATGTCAGAAGCCTCCGACCCAGGGTAAATAGGAAGACAGGAAAGGGGACAAGGGAGCAGGTCGAGTGGTGACCCGGTTAGATAAGTATAAGTAGTTTCAGAAGTGATTTTATTCCACACCGCTGCTGAGGGACAGTGAAGTGTTAGTGCAATGATTATGCTGGAGGTAGAAAGCAGAAGGGGACGATGATGTGAACAAACGAAGAAATCGATGTAGTCCTCTGGTTTAGTAAAGGTCAATACAGCCGAGTTAGATCGAAGAGCACAGGCACGAAGCAATTCTGAGAAGGCAGAGCAGGCCCAGTAGAGAATACGACGAGCCAGAAGCTCGCTTTCAGTAAATCGGGGGCAGAAACGTTGGAAATAGGGAAGAATGAACTTAAGGCAACGAAGAGGATCACACTTTGCTGCTTGTGATCGTTCGTGGTGCGAGCAAAAGGAGGAAGAGTCTTGCGACATGAGTCTCAGGGAGTTATCGTACAAGTGGTCCAGTTTTGACGCAAGCCATTTGAGCACATCCCAATGCTCGACCAAATCATTGTCATAAAGGGTGGTTAAGAGATTAAAAAGGTAATCCCATTCAGCACACATGCAGTCATATTTACTAGGAGAAATAGTCGAGAGATCACCGGAAAAGAGCTCATCCAGCATTCGCAGAAGTTCCTCAGTCCATTCCATAGTGGGATCAAGCTTTTGTTTTTTCTTTAAATTTTCCAGCGGTGCAGTGGTGTGAATAATAAGCTTGTTAATTAGACGCAGCGAATGCGACAGGGGGAAGCGGCAAGAGACTAGTTGTGACAGAATCCTCTCCTTGCTAGCGTGAAAAACGGTGCTTCTTCTATTACAATTGGCTCCTGAAAGATCCAAAAGCCAGTCTTTGAGCTGACCCCAATCCTTGTCCATTCCTGAGTATCCTTCAACCTGAATTTGTGAGTTATCTGGTTCGAAGGGAGGGGCCGTTTGGGCCTTGACGAGAAGGATATTGTAGTATAAGTCCCAAGCGGTGTCCAGATCCTGAGGCGCGCTGTTGCTCCTTCCTGATTTGTATTCATCAGCAACAGGTCTATGATATTTAAACCCATCTTTGACCAATTGTTCCGTCAAAGCATCTTCAAGCTGATTTGGCTTCTGAGGGTATACATCGGGAGGACCAGAGCTCCTCCCCTTCAAAGGACAGCCCTCTGATGACGGAAACTTACTCATTCAAATGGATGCAACAAACACAGAAAACGTTTAGCGGTAAAAACGCATTGCATCCACAAATAAAAAACAGATGTAAAACACAAGTCGCTCAAACGAAGCGCCTATCACCAAATAATTATACGAACAAAAGCCGCGAATTTCTGAATACGATTCAATGTAAATCCGCCGTTTGATTCAAAGAATTAGTGTTTAGAGCTAGAGCAAGATAAACAATGCTGCATTTTTATGAGTTGATTCTAATAAATTATTATTTTGCAATTGGTCTTATAGCCAATATTTAATCTGTTATTTTATTTTATTGAACGAAAATTGAAGTCTTTCAATTAAATTAAGATGTATTAAACGCGAAGAGAATTAGTGTACCTCCGTAAGGGCGTATTTAGAAAAGTCGCTTATGTATCAATAATTGAACCTTTCAAATGATTCCGGAAATATCTATGTCGCATCCCACGACTTCCCATTGGGTAGAAGAAGACGTAAAGTGAAGTTGAACACATGTGTATCAAAGCGAACGAAGAAGTTAAGACTGAACTTGCCCCAAAGGCCAGCTTACACAGCGTCCTCGATGCTTTCTTTGGATTATCACCCGCGCCAGCCATCACGATATTTTCGATATTGCAGAAAGGACTCACGAGCCATTTATACCAGTCAACAGTGGTCAAGAGACTGAGGGATGGTTCTTAGTTCCTTAGCAGCTTCAATTGGACCCGAAGTCACGTTCGGTCTGACAATCCCAACAGGGCATCTTACATTTTTTTACCATAAAGTGCTTCCAGGGCTCGACGGTGGACCTCTAATTTAAAGCAGATATGTTACAAGTGAAACGGTATCGGACACTATTTTGTATATAAGAGGAACCGCATTGTCACTTCCGAAAAAATATACACGGATGTGGTAAGGAAAAATCCGACAATAGTTTCTCAGACCTTTAATGATAATGTCGCTTCAGTTTTTGACAGCGCTTCTGTAAAACACGAGAATGAGGGTTTTTCTCCAAAGATGTGAATGCGTCTCCTCCATCCCGTAGAAAAAACGACATATACTAAGACAGAATTCGTTTCCTAATTTCGGATTCGCCCTCCGCTGCTACCAACGTAGCATCCAATACATCCCATTGCTTAGGATAAGATGTAAAGTTGAGCTGAATACAGAGAGACTCAGGCCGAAATTTGCCCAAAGGCCAGTTTGCGCTTGCAATGACCACACGAATCATAATGTAATCGCTGAACATAAACTAAACATTACAATCTACCTTGTAATTATAATTTTGTGAAGTATGTTGGTTATTTGACTTTTACGTGTGGGTACGTGTGAGTAACCAAAAATTAGGTCCTTGTTTTCCTAATGGAGACTCACGGGCCGCTTATAGATTTCGAAACTTTTCAACTCATTGTGCAGCAGTAAAATGCTCCCCCACTACTCCTTTACAGGGTAGACAAGGCATTGTAATTAATGAGATTATATAGTCACGTGGAAAATTGAGGATGATTAAGAATGTGGCATAAAATGAAAGAAGGCGGGCATAGAGGGAGCGGCATAGCCTATCAACCACTTCGTACTTCACGCTAAGATCCGACAATCAGGTACTATGGCTGACTTTATGCATTGTAGAGAAGATCCGTTTGTAATTTTATTGAAGGGGCCAATCCAAAATATCATTGCAATTAATGCAGTATTATTAGTCCAGTTCTTCTACCTCAAATGAACACACCTACATATTTATGCCTCTCTCCGTTAGCTCTCGCTATAAAATTACGCTAATTTTGCGGCAACTGGACTTATGAACTATGTAATCGATCACATTTTACATAACATAAGCTTTGTTAGCTAAGCTCAGCGATCCACTTAAAGTTGGTGCGCCACAATTCGATGCCTTTCTGAGCACAAAATGTGTATTAAAAACTTAATCTTTGAATTACACAAGATTTTCACAGGGGCCATCTAGCTTTCTGAAAGTAGAGGCCTTTGTAGAATAAACTAAATAACAAAAGCGATATACAAGACACTCATTTACATAGTTTAAATTGTCTTCTATAGCTGTTATTCAAGTTTATCTGTTGGCTGCAACCTGTAATGTTAATGCAGGTATTGCAGGGGTGCGTATTTTAAATGCGACTTTGGCGTGATTTGCTTGCGCTCATATCTGAGAGTTGTGATGATGTTGCAGAGCACTTGGATGATACACTGCTAAACAGACTTGAAGGAGCATTATATTGTGAGAATGAACACCATGGGATGTGGGACGATTTTTATGGCAGTAATTTTCGGAAATTCATGGCTTCATTTGAGAGTAATTTACAAGATACGGAATTATTCCGCGGTAAGCTAAAAATTAAGTTTGCGATTCTTTGGCGAATGCGCGATTACTGTCAATCTTCTGATTTTGAGGTGGCGACCCGTATGCTGAGTTCATTGATAGATTCTAGGAAATGTTCACTGATATCGTCACTGCATACATTTTATCAAAAGAGTTTGCTTGGACTGAAAACATTCAATTTACTTGGTGATAACTTGGATTCACATCTGTCGATTCTTTTGAGTCTGTACCAGGCATCACCAAATGTTAACCACCGTCGTTCCATAGTGCTTTTATACATTTTGCTATCGCTGTCCGGTTTCGAAAATTATAAAAGTGCCGGTATGTTTCGCAGGTATATGGAATCAATGGACATATGTTCTTGTGGCGTTGATTTTCTGGTGGATCTTCTGACAGAACTTGTCAAGGTTCCTCATCTGTCCAACGGAATATGCTCTATGTTTCTTAGGAAGTGTGCGGAAAGTGTGGAGATATTACTCAGTAAAAGCACATCAGCTCTTGGGGATAAAGATGAATTAACTTATCTCTCAATTTTGTTGGCACCGTATGAGCCGAATGCTCTCGAATACGCTATCAATCATGATAATTTGTCAAATGTCGGAGGTTATTTACGACGGCTGCTTACCAACGGTGTGCTTCAGGATTGTGAACCTCATCGCTTATTAGTGCGCTCATGGTACAGTCAAATTGAGGATTCTTTCAACGGTTCGAAAACTACCCTCGCCAAAGCTCTCACACCTTTATCAACTTGTCTGGAAAATCCCCTCCATCATTGTGTATTTCGCGATGTCCTTCCTCCTACTTTTACCAATAATCTTTGGAATTTCTCTATCAGTTTGCTGCTGCAGAATCAATTTGATAATATTTCGAAAAATTGTTGGTTGCTTTTCAATCGCTGTTGTCATCTTCAAGAGGATACACGAAAAAGAGAACAGTTACAATTCCTACTCAACCACATCTGTAATCACTCGCAAGCTCTTGCAGAGTTCTCGGTTTTAATGGATAGTGTATTCACTTTGTATTCCACTCCCCCGTCTATAACCCTCACAGAGAGACTGGATGTATTCCAACGAATTTATTGCCTTGCACACGAAGAATGCATCAATCTAAAGTCTAGTGGAAGGTGTCTTTCTTACTCTTTCCTTCTTTTGCGCATTTATCAATCTGATTTTTTAAACGAGACAATTGCTTTGCAGCTTTTGCGGTTGCAAAAACTTGTTTCAAAACAGATAGCCGACGAACCCTCATTAACAGCCGATGAGACAGTTACCCATATGCATTGTGGCTTTTTCATCACACCCTTATTGGAATCCCATGCTCGAGAGATTTTTACGCCGCAAATCTTCGATCAAATATTGGACCTAGTAGCTACCCTTGAGGTCGCAAAAGCGTTGAATGGCGAAGAGCAGACCTTTCCATCGACATTGAAGGGTGCTCTACTGGCATGTTTACTTAGATGCCTTGACTGCCCAATTGTACTTGAGCATCTGTTAGCCACGGACACACTTTGTCTCGCGTTGGAAAAGTGTGCTGATCTGAGCTCTGCGGAGTGGGAGGGAGATCCATTGATTCGTAAAAGGGTTTTCGAATTTTGGAATGTTCTCTTTAAGGTAGGATCTCGGTTCCTTTAACACCTATTTCCAGAAGGTAGAGACAGAGCAAAATTCGCCGGAGATGAGGAGCCTTTTGGAGCGCTTTCGACCTCATTTCAGTTTGACGGCACCAATTCAGATTGGACACAGTGTTTGCCCCTCATGTGGCGAATGTATCCATGGTTTGTTAGAGGATATCATTCTTTCCAATCAGACAGTCGAAGATTTGGACTGCGTTGGCGATTAACTTCGTGTTGAGACTTATTTTATCTTTATCCGCAAAGTATTTTTAACACTGGAAGCTTAGCTTGAATAATTAAAATGAGTTTTGGTGCATTGAGATTTGGGTAAAATAGACATTCGGTTTCGCATTCACAAAGGGTTCGCTGCAACTGTACAGGTTCGTGCTGTAATGAACGGCATTGAATGCCACGCTTTGTAATGGGAGTGTATTTTACCCTAGTCAAGGCATCAGCGTAGCAACACTTATGGCGTAACCGCTCCTCCTCAATAGGCGACCAAGTGGGGCACAATCCAAGTGGCTTCTTCGTTGGGTCTTGGAGAGCTGAAGCCATCTGGCTCTACTCACAAGGCTTACCCGGTTTAGTTAACATGGTGCACGATATGCAACAATTCCCTCCTTTCCCATTAATATCTTCAAGTTATTTTCATTCAGCAACATCATTAGCGTTTTGTTAAGGTTTTTCTCAGTTTAAAAACCATGTACAACTGTGCATGCGGTTTACTTTCCAAAATTTTTGCATTTCCGCTAGCCATTTTACGCGGACGGCAGAATCATTGATGAGATTTTGGAAGGATGCTTGCGTTTTGAGGGGACTTAATACTTGCTTGATGTCACAACCAGCTGCCACCCTTGTGCATTCTGTTGAAATTTAAGTCTGATTGCATTTGCTTCCCACATCGACCGTTTGCTTGTATGATTTCGAATCGTTACTTAGCAGAAGACATCCAGATTACGTTCTTCTTATTACAAAACATAGGGCCAGAACACCGCGTCACAAAACAGATGAATTTGTGATGGCATGGGAAGGGGCAACTGAAGGGAAATCACAAGTAAGGCGACTCTCAAGGTTTAGTAGATTATCGTGGAGCTAGTATGAGGGGCATGGTTTGGGAGGTAAATGTAACAGTAGAGTTGACCCTCCTCTATCATTAAACAATGCGAGGGAACAACTTTGCATCCGTTGTATGTGGGTGACCTATTTACGTAACGACAGAAAGTTAGGCCTAAATTCAGCTCGGAATGTACATACCCCTCCATTATCCCACAGATCGTTAGACGAGTCAAGTGTTTACTCATTAAATGAACAGCTCAACTACATGAGAATTATTCACCCTATGAGTAAAAGGTGAAAAACTCAACTGATAGCTACTACACAAATGGTAATGACTACAAAATTAGATCCCTTACAAAACAGTAAGATTAGAGGGGAAACATTAAGCAGAGAGAGCAGGGGAGGGACAGAAGCGCCAAAAAGGAAAGTAACCTCGTTGCAGCTGCCCAGCCACCGCAAGAGTGCGCTCACATTCGCGCCAATCACTGAAACTGTTTGCCATCGCTGCCTCCAACGTCGGTATCCGTGAGCCGTGTAAAGCCATCACGCACGACACCACCTGAGATGGAAGAGAGGGTGAGCCCATTAGTGTAAATGATACACGATTTGTCCTAAATGTCTTTTAAACATCTCAAGCCAAAATTCCTTAAGATTTAAGCAGTACTTATAGTTAGCACGGCTTTCTTGCGCTGAGCCTTTCTACGACATCTGGAAGGGGTCGAAATCCGAAAAAACCAATCCAAGCCCTGCATTGAGAAGTTATAATGTCCTTAATAAAACCATCTCAAAGTATGCATGAAGGAATAAAAGTGGACGATAGATTAAAGACTGCCACAACAAATAAATTGAAGATGAACCAGACCACGAAAACATTGCCTTGGGTGTACATCTCATCGCTAGTCGTAACCACTTCCTCTCCCGACTCTTGTTAACTAACGAGCATGAATTTACCTCGTTTAATTACGGGATCTTCAAAAGAGATACCAACGACAAGAGAAAGTTATGATTATCAAAGTCCACTCTGCATAAGTGTACATACTACTCGAAATTCGGTTGCTTTAATAAACTCCTCAACAAGATATATACTTGTGCATGATTCCAATTAACCATTAAAAATACTTAGCAGATTTTCCATCCACTAATATTAACCCCCTCACTAGCAACGTTGTATTCATAACGCCCAAGAAAGAAAGACCATCTTATGCCGTATTTGAAGAGTAGTGACCAGAACGTAATGGCTGCTGCACCTCGAACAGTGATAGTGAATGTGCTTATTCAAATACTTTAATTCCTTTGCGTAACTTAAAATGCTAGCAAAATCGTTACCTCCAGTCGATATGCTAGGAAGCTACTGACGGCGTAGGAAAGTGTGTAGGTGGAGTTACGAACTGTCTTCGACAAGGATCCAAAAAAACCGAAGATACGGGGTCGCAACAGCCTACTCAAGGAGGCAAAGAGTAGCAAGTGAGACAATTCAAATATCAGCCTTGGAGTAATGCCCTAAAAAGGAGGATGATCGATAAGGTGAAAATGCAGAAATCGGAAGACAGAACATCGTACATACAGAGAAGAACCCCATAATACCGTTATCTCTGAAAATTGACATGACAGCCTGAAAGAACCATGAATACCCAGAATTATTTCCAACAACACTAGCTGCCTGCCGAACCAAAATCACTAGAAAGGAAATAAAGTTAGAAAAGCCAACAAACCGTAGAATGGTTGAGTGAGAAGAACCTCATAGGTCTTGAAAAAACAGAGGTTAAGTAAGTGCGTTGCGAACTGAGAGATCGAAAGTCTTCCCATCGCGCCCTCTGCGAACCTAAATTTCGGCGCTCCCACAACATCAGAATCCTCTAGCCACTCTCCAGCATTGAGAGCACTGCTTACTACGTATCGATGACTCACAAAACAGTAAGCATCAGTAAGAGCATCGAAACAAAAGGTGGAGAAGAATCCACAGGTCATGACCGACCAGAATCCGTACGTGTGAAAGAGATGACGTGTGTAAATGAACACGTTAGGATAGCAAGAGAAGGTAAAATGAGATAGGCCGAACAGAGAGAAGGGAAAGGTGGAGGTGGTAGGAGGAAGAGGCTCATGACCCAATTGAATCAGTGTGCGCACAAGGCGAAGTGGATTAATTAGAGTGCGGATGACAAAGGCCTCTGGACTGATTTGGTAAGTGCCGGTATCCAACTCGGAGACGCCATGCTGCTTTGTTCGACGAGAGGAACTCTTCATGGACTCTAATAGAACTGCTACGTCAACGAAAAACGGATCTCGGGGTTAGAGTATGTCAAAATGTGCACTTAAAATAAAAGCAGGCAATTGATTTCTCGTTCATACGGAATAACGTGCATTGAACAAAAAGTAGACAAAAAGATAAACGTCTTAAACCAGTTTTAAACGATTTATCATGGCAATTCTTCAATGAGAGAAAGTAGGGAAGTCGAATCTGATAATGGTAGGTATCAAAAATAAAACGCGAAACTACCGGAACATAACACACTTCAAATACTACGACCTTTAAATTCCAAGGTCGCAACACAAATGGGAATTTCAGGGCAATTCTTTTTCATCAAAATTTGAAAAATTACTTGTCAATTGTCTAATCTGAAGTTACTTTAATTAAAAACAAATTTATGAAAACTGCTTTGCTAGTTATAATTTCTTTAGATCAAGCTTGACCTAGTATCAGTTGTCTCTGTAGCCAAAGTATTATTTAAATCAGCAGCGCACACTACTAAAACATCAGAGAAATTCAACGAAAGAAAATCACTTAACAGTATGTTGCAATAAATTATTTAGTGTATGCAAGTTTTTATTTAGACAAAAAGTGCGTAATTTTCATTGCTGTTATTAATTGCAGTGCTGTTGCAACATATTGTTTAAATAGCCTTTTCCGCGATTTTACTTAAACTCTCTTTATTATCGTGTGAACTTGTTATGTCACCCACAGAGTTGGCTTATCCTTTAATTGATTTTCGTTCCTAGTTGGAAAAAAAGATTGCAGTCGTTTAAGTGGCGGCCAGGTTTTACCCGTAGAGGAGCGCTAGAAAGAAAGAAATTCACTCTACCAATTTATTCAAGAAAAAATTCAAGTTCGTGCTATCGAAAATGCACATCTTCTAGAACATGCAGAAGCACGCGAACTCTGACAAATATTTTTTTGTGTAGGACTCTGATTTTTGCGTAAAATTCGTACCTTAAAACATGTTAAGTATGTGAATGCAGGTTTTCTTTACTTTCCTCGGAATTTGAGGTTCGCGTTTTCATGTTTTTACTTTTAGTTTTTGTCAATTTTTGAAGATTGTTTCCTTTTTTGTGCGGATTTTTATTGTATTGATTTTTTTGCATAAAATCGGAAACACGAATTCTTTATGCACAATTATTAAACGGGTTAACTTTTCGCTAAAGGCATTGTTGAGGGACGTGGTTCAAGTTGTGATCAAATTGGTATGGCTGTTATCGACCTTAATCAACCCGGCATCGAGGTGTCACAATTCACTGATACCAGTGGTTATGGTAGTACCCTTATGAAAATGCTTGTATGGATGCCCACCGAGGTTCGTTTAGCATCTTTTTTATTGTGAATTCTGATGCACCTATCCATGTGCTTTTGGAGGCAGTATCGCGACTGTGAAACTTTGCCTATGCTTTTGATACAGCTCGGGTTTCGGTTTATTGTGGTATGAAATCTAACCGTATTCCCGTTTCTTAGGTATTGCTGCCTCAGTCAGCCTTAGAGCAGTCAAGCAATATGAATCGATTAGTAAAATTGCTCCAGCAAAGCGAATTCGGGTGTGCTATTGTAGGCGTCGGTCGCCATTCTTTCAATAATCAAGAAGGTTATTATTCCTTTTTCTTCTGAGTGAGCTATTATTATAGCTAATATTATTCTTTTTTCCTACAGGTCTTGAATACCTAAAGGCTTTGTGCCATCCACACTATCTCCCATCAATTTACGCTTTCCAAGAAAAGTGAGCATCATGGGTATTGATTTCACAATCTTTTATTGTTTTGTTTATTATCTGTCATTCCTAGGCAAGCTAAACTAGGTTATTGCGCCGATGTTAAATACATTGGTAGTAGTATCTGTTTTTAGATACTACGGTCTGTCTGCTGCTGCTGCCTTGTTCAACTACCTAGAGACAACAAAACGGGTCTACTATGCCCCAAAGTCTCTTAAAGTGGATTTTCGCTGCTCCACTCAGGCGACAATGCTGGGTACAGTTTTTGTGATTTTAGTTTCAAGCAATGCTTCGCCAATGGTTTAATGTGATTTTGAACTTGTGATCCAGTTTTTTTTGTCGACCCCATTTGCACATAGATTTATGTGATTCCATATATTATTTTGATAAAAAAAATGTAGGCATTGGAAAATATTGTCCAAAATGTGGAAATTCATCCTTATGCAGATGCTACAAGTGCAATTCGGCTGGGTCTCGTGAGTCGTCTGGGTCGTGCAAGAGAAAGTCAGACACTATTCAAGGCTATCAATCACACTTGCACCCTCATTGGGGCACGTCGACTTAGAGGGTGCTTACTGGAACCTCCCAACGGTATGTTATAGAGGGGATATTATTGACTTTTCAGTACAACAACCAGGGGGAAAGTTTTGCTCCCTTTATTTTTCTTTTTATAGACTTGACTACAATTACTTGTCGGCAAGAGTCAGTCACTGAGCTAATCTCGAAACCCCAGATTTTGCTTGAGATTCAGGTAACGACTTGAACTGATGGCCTTGTCACCAAATCACAATTATTGCAAATAGTAATTCAAAAACATTACTCTTGCCTATTATTCGACCATTATGAAGTCTATGAATCTTGCTTCGTTTAGAACACTTCTTCCATCGCCGTCAAATATCATTAGCATTTCCATAAAATCTTTGTCAGCTAAAAATAAGTTTACTGATGTCACTTCTCAAGTTTAGTTCAAGCAGTACGATGACTCAATCCATCTCTTCAAATCTAATGGATATTTAAACTTTTTGCATCACCAAAAAATTCAACTTTTAAAGTTTTGAATAGATATTATTTTGTATGTAAATTCATTTAGTCAAGTGTATGGAATGCCTCGAATCTTTCTTAACCTGAGTAAAATTGCTAAATTCATCTAAACCACTCGGTTTTGGAGCATGCATGTTACTGCCATTTCTACGTGCCGTGCCGTGAACTTGACAGAAGACTGTGCGCTGCAGCTTTGAAGCTATTGGAGTTCCTTGCAATCAAACAATCAAATTTGGCAAGGTTGTATCCTAAGAAAAAAATAATCTAAATCAATCCAAGATTTGAGATAATTTTTAGCGATTACAAGCCTTACCGTTACTATATTAGGTCAATCGTTGTAGAAAATAATCGACACTCAGATTGGCCGTGCTCAATTTTGGTGAGAAACGCCTTCTTTCTAAATACGCATCGCATAGCCTCATCAAACGAAATATGTGAAATATCGTTATAAAATTTTCCTCCATTTAAGACTAAACCATAATTTAAAACAAGAAACTGCTTGTTAAGGCTCCATTTGTTCAAATATGTTCCAGCTAGCATTACTACACTCATCCATTTGAAGATTGCGAATTGATCAAATGACAATGACCTCGGATAAACCATCTTATGGCTTCAAATGCCGAGAGGGAGACGTTATTTATATGCTACTTAGACTTATAAAGCTAACCTAACGAATTTGAGGACGCAATTATTATTTAAAATAAAAAAACTTTCACTTCTTTATATGAAGATTATCCTTCACGCATATGCATGAGATCCCATTCTGCTCTTCCCCAATTAGCACTGGATCTGTTTTCAATCAAAAATTTTGAGCCGAGCTACATCGAAATAAGAGCATGAACGGCAACATTCGCATTGTGTTTTATGACAGTACAATTCGTGATTCTCATATTGGACACGAGACCGGGCGTTAGTAAAATCACGCATGCATGGCACTATGGGCCTTTTTTAAGTGGCACATATCTGTTACACTGAAGCATTATAAATAGGCCCGAAATAATTCCACTTCTAGCACAAGCTAAACAGTAAATGGTTAGAGACATCAAATCATCAAGCATGGTTTGCGACCACTTAGTACTCTTATCCGATTCAATTAAAGTCATTTTGATTACTTTACATTTTAGTGCATTTCAAGAGCCGACACACACTCCATATTGATCCCCACCATTTTTTCCTTCGAAATTCTTAAAAATCTGCAAGAAATGAAGCAAGTTTATCACTTGATCTTACCCACTTTACTTGCTTTCAAAGACTGTGTTGGCGAAATTCCCAGCCATCGATAGTCTCCTCTCAATGTGTGTCCACCTCTCCGAGTTTCCCGCTCCTCGTACTGACCTACTTACTGGTACCGCTGCCTCTGCCTGCTCTGTTATTACATCTTCCTCAGGCGCTGCCTTTCGTCAGCGTCCAACTTCATTATCTGGCGATGATGCTGCGGAAGAAGAACTCCTTACACCCAGCTCAGACGTGGAACGAGACCATCGACCGAAAAGACTGTGCACCGGCACTGCCTCAGCGTCGAACATCTCCCCTTTGGCCCCAACCTCTAATTTGGCTTTGAGGAGGAGGCTCAGCGAGAAAGATAGTAGTGGCGCGACATCATCACTATTTTCTGCTGTGTCAATTGGCAATAACGCTGAGTTACGAATCACCAAACTGATTGCAATCAAACACATGTTGGATCTTATTCAACCGCTCCAAGACGCCTTGAAGGGCACGTCCTCTGCTCTTCTAAAGACCTACCGAGAAGTGAGTAGTAATTTCAAAGATTCTTTCACAACGAATTGCACCGAACGTACGTCCAATTTTCCACGAAACGCTGGCACTGAGGGGTGTCGGTTATGTTTTCACATGCAAAAATTTACTGATATTTAAAATGAATGTGGGGCAGAACCACATTTTTTTTTGTTGAGGCAACAGTTAGCTGACTACGGTACCCTAAAACTTATTAAAGGATGTTCGATTTATTTGTTATCAAATATCACAAGCGTTGTGCTACGATGAATGAATTGCGAATTTAGCATTAACTAACTTACAGATGCTCTCAGACGCTGGGTACATTGAACTGCTGGAAAAAATGACCACTGTTTTGCATCAGGATGCCCGTGTCTGTAAGGGAACGTTACAAATGCGTGTGCAAAAGTGTTTTGCCATCAAGGTTAGCCTTATTTCTTTGCGCATTTTATGTATGTGTATGGGAAGTGAAGTCATATAAGTAGTGTTGCCCGTAATTGTCGCGCAAAAGTCTGAATAACAGACACCACTAATGAACTTAGCAAGCGGGATTAGTGTATGCAAATTGAAGTATGACAGCTGCGGATACTTTAGTTCACGACTGACTCAATTCATGGTCTGACAGCCGCTGGGCTGCAATACCTTTGAGTAGCGAAATTAGGTCGTAGCGGACACTTATGTGAATGCTTGGGGCGTTAAATTTCTTTCCAACATCTAGGACACCTCATTGGCGTATGATCTGTTGTTTGGTAAATGTGTATACAAGGTGAAACCTTTCGCCTCTGACTGACACAGTATACTACTCCGGACTGTGTTAACTAACAACACAAGTCTGCTGCAAACCTATTCGATGTCGCTTATAAAGCGTCTAGATTTATATGCAGGTGCAGCAAGGGCAATCTAAAATCCAGTCCAATTTAAATACTCCTAACACAAAAGAAAGCTCTTTTTTTCTTCCCTATTCAGCCTGGTATAAATGTCCTTCTCGATCTAACTCGACGTGCTTACGCCGAGCAAGTGGACGACATATCACGTGAGTGGTTTGCGCTGCCATTGACGCTGCTTAAAATTCATTACTATCCTGTCCTCATTTCCTCGTAGAATACGTAAAAGGTCTTGCCTCAGAGTACACTCTACCTCTTCGTGTGGGTTACAACAAGGCACGTGGCTTTTTCATCCAAATTCCTGAGCAGGCGCTCTGTCTACCACCAGCTCCGCGATCGAGATGCTTTGAAGCAAAGGCGACCTCAAATTTGGTTTCGGAATCAACAAATTGTTCTAGATCAAATGGCCCCCAATCTACAAGGTTTTCCATCGGGACTCAACTCACCACGAAGCATCCCAATTTGCCCGATGTGTTCATCAAGGTGCAGGTGTCCAGAGGATTAATCAACTGCACTACAGCTGAGCTGGTACTTGCGCCCCTTTGATCCTTTTCTCAATGGCATCATAGGGCATGAAATGATTAGGATGATATACTCTCTCAAAAAATCCCTTGTTGAAAGTTTATGCATCTTTACAAGGACCCAGGTATTTGCTGCTGCTACTCTAGCTCCACCTTTGCGAAAACTCAAAAGCATCTGAATGTAACTTGACACAAAATTTCAACTCCTAAGATAAGCAAATTTTTTTTAATTTTTGGTCGACATCTTGATTGAGGTTGTAAAACTTCCAAAACTCACTCCTCAAAACTATAATATTTTTTACTTCAGGTGAAATTAAACGGTAAGACTTCATACCCCATCTCCCTTACTATCAATCTCACCTAGAGCGCGTTAAAGGATCTCTCAACGAGGTTTACCTGATCGCTGACAAGTAAGTCACCTTCGTCCTTGCTCCCTTTTTTAACTCCTCTCTTCAGCCTCGCTTGCAAGCTCATTCATGATCTACATCCCGAAATGAGTCTCTTTTACCGCCTCTCTGAGGCCATCTCCGGCCTCGACCTCCTCTGCTCTCTAGCCCGCATCGTCGTCTCTGCTCCTCCTGGTCACTGTTTCGGTAAATCTCAAATTATTACAGACAGGTCTGACACTTGTCCTGCACTCTTAGTGAAGCCTGTTTTTGGGGACACCCTGGCTATTCAAGAGGGTCGACATATGATCAAAGACCGGTTTAGTGAATGTCTACCGGTCAGTAATAATACAGTGAGTTTGAGTTAAAGCCATCTTCCTTTTTGATGTTCATCTTTTTTCCTACCGAATTTCTGCTGTTTTGTAGTTTGCTTCAGCGTCGCACAATGTATTAATCATCCTTGGCACAACCATGGTGAGCCTCATACGCACTGAAAGTAATGTGGTGAAATTTCATCGATATTCATTACTGAGGTTCTTTTCACACCAACGATTTTGCATTTAATGCTCTTTCACGCCTAATTGGAGTAGTTACTTCCAATGTCATACTCCGGATTAAGGCTTCGAGGTTTATTCATTCATTCTAAAGGGAGACTGAATACACAGGAAAAATGATATCGTCTGCAGACCCACATGTACTGGTTGTTATACATCCAGAAGGAGGCCGATTGGATAGTAGAAATTATAAATCCCTACTATTTTCAACTCGCTTATGTGTTGATAAAGGCTTTTCAACTAAGTTAGGTGTTAGTATGCCATTACAGAGCGGAAAGACCACGTACCTGACCCAGGTGGCATTAATGCAAATCCTCGCTCAGATTGGAGCCTTTGTGCCGGCCAAATTTGCTGCGTTCCGATTGACAGACAAAATTTTCGTTCGTATGGGGTGTCGGGACGACATGTCCACGAAAGCTTCCACGTTTGCTCTGGAGGTAAATTGCATTAATGCAAGCTAGAAGGGGTTCGCTGTGATTTCCCTAGATGCGCGAGGTTGGTCACATACTCAGATCGGCGACGGATAACTCCCTTGTAATGATTGATGACCTTGGACTAAGTAAGCCTTGATCTGTCATAGTTACTTAATCCGTTTTGCAGTTGTTTTTAATAATACGTTATGGACATTACCCCATTTCGCTTGTGAACATTTGTGATACTAGGCAGCTGTCTGTGAGTTCGGTTTTCCTTTAGTTCTCATACCGAGCTGGTAGAGCTTATAACATATCCACGAGATCGAATATTTAAGAAATTTACTGAACGAAATGAATTAGGCCCAACTTTGCACATCACAATGAAGACATAAAGACGCTTTGTCAATCAGTCCAAGAACAAAAGGAGAGCACAATTTCCAACACAGAGCTGAATTGTTTTGTAATTGTAAGATGCACCTTAAAATGGATATGAAGACGCCGATTCATTGACTACTTAGAAAAATGGAATCTGTTTAAAATCTGCTTTCCTAAAATTTAACATCTCCATTTCTACCAACTTAAAGGCACAACTGACGAGGACTGTTTTACACTCAGCTACGCCATCTGCGACGCCCTGGCAAAAATGCGTGCCTTCTCTTTCTTCACCTCCTCTGATGCCAGTCTTTCTCAATTGCAATTCATTCACCTCAATGTCGAGATGTAAGGCCACCTGCTCCCGCATCCAATCACTGTATGGCTTAGCATAGATTAACGGTCGGCCTAAGGGAGGAAAGATCGGGCTGATGGGCAGGAGACAGACGGATAGTTAATGGAACGCTCGTAAAACTATGTTTTTCAGAATGCTGGGGAAGTGATTCAGATAGGCAGATGGATATATTAAGGTCGCGGACTGATAAATGAACCATAGGATTGCTAGATTCACCAGGTTCGACTTCCATTCAATCTTTAGGTGCGAACAACAATCGTGCCTCTGTCGGGGCCCACAAGTGCAAAAAAAACATGCGCTCATGAATCTTAAAACATGTCCTATGAGTTTTGAGAATTAACCTACTAATTAAGATAAAGGGAAACTTGAGGGTTGGAAGCCAGTGCTGTAGTACACCCAATGTCACGTGAACTTCACATGTCAGCATAATGTCGCATACCTCGTCGTCCTTTATTAAATTAAAAACTTCGAATCAGAATTACAACATTTGATGCGAGTCTTTCAATCTGGAATAGCACTCAGACAAAGTAGATGTTTGCATTGAAGAGCGACTTTCGTGTTTTAATCAGCACTTTCACGCGAAAAGGCGCGAAACGATCACTACGCTCTACAGCTGTTGCCATCTTCAGACTACTTAAACCGAGTATTTCTGCGCTGGCATGTTAAAGAGAGTTCAGTATCATTTTCAAAACTGCGATTCAACAATTTAAAGAGATCTTAGTTACCAATTTGAAAACCGAATTGATAAATAATGCACTTATATCTAAGCCGTTAGGATGTGGTGGGACTCACGACCAGGTTTGGTTTACGCCCATATTTAGGCTCCACAACAAAGAGCCTGCTTTATGAGGGAGGCTCTAAAACGACTTTAACGTTCCACTATCCTTCGGATACTGGTTAAGCACGTTAATTGTGAAATTAATACCAATGACTAATATTTTCTCCATCTTAAATTATAGTTATCATTTTGAGGTGGAGACACGAGGTGCAATTCAGGGAGGACAGCGAATTTATCATTCGAGGAGAGCTGACTGTTCACTGGACGATTCCTACAAATCCACTTCTTTTAACGATTCCTCCATAATGCCTGGGGAATATGAAGGTGCTCCAACAGTAGATGGAACTGAGTGTGCGAAAGACGGTGACACACGTACTCTCTATCGGTTCACGTATAGGCTAAGGAAAGGTGTTGGTAAGATAACGCATTGCGGTGAGTTGAGATAAGACCATTGTATACGAGTTGTGACTTTTAAAGCCAACTTAATGACTAGGGCACTCATCAAAATTTGCAGACATTTGGTGAATGCACTTTACTCCAGATAAAGTGCTTAGCCTATTCAATATGATTCAAAATTTTCTCAATCAGAACCTTGTTCGCCTTACCGCGTTTTCATCCTCTGTGCTCTACCTATGATGCTTGTTTCAACTGATGATTGTCACATGGCCTTAGACGTTTAAGCGCCAAGTTGAGTATTGGAAAATAAAGCTGAGTTCGGAACTGGAATAACTGGGGACAATATGTTTATTACTGGAGTGAAAATTTGTGTGCCATGTTAAAGAGAATCATAGATTGTACACGCCAGTGTCTCGAAAATAGAACTTTTAAGAGGCTATCTGAACCGTTGCAGGCGTTCAATCATTGTAACCTTTCGATTCATGAAACACATGCTGTAAATCAATCTACTGGATTAGATATTCATGGTTGACCCTCGATTTCTGAAATGGACATAGTTAATTGCCTTTTTTCATGTCGTAGTCATTGATCAAATCGGATTGACTGCGATGGATCCAGACTTAATCAGCATCACAAAAAAGTACTACAATATCTTAATGAGCGGAAAAACCTCGAAAATCAACAGTGTCACACACTCAGACGTCGTCAACGTCTCACACTCAACCACTGATCCAGTATCAATAGCAGGAGTTGAGCAGGTGCGCCGATCTGAATCTGCGACCTCAAAGGGGGATCAAGAGGAAGAGACTGAAACAGTTACGCATCACATCACTTCGGAGAAAAATGAGGAGAGAGTGGGGAAGGTGGGAAATCAAGTCTCTCCTTCTCTCTACCAGTCTTATAACTTCTCTGAAGGCAAAGAGCGAGATGCAATCCCAAGGGCTCTGGTGATTCGTTGAATAGTTGTAAAACGATAAGAAAATTAACTTCACCTTTGTTTTGAAGGCAATGGTGACCCAGATCCCGAAATTATTTGCAAAAGGAGTGAAGCAAATTGCATGTTGGATGGTAACAACTCATGGTTGCTATTTCTACAGGTTTTGGAGCACACAGATCTCAACGTGGATGTGGCTGAGAATGCCCCCAGGCTGACGACCTTGACACCGCCCACTCAGCTACCTGCCAATCAGACGTCCAAGAGTTGCGAGGATTCTCAGAATGGAAAGAACAGAGATGAAGACTTCAGGCAGGAAAACGGTAGTAGCTGCTTTCCTAACACCGAAGCTCATAAAGAACTTTTACTGACGCTGAGGTCACATTCATTCACTTTTCGGCTGAACGAAAGGAACAGAACTGTCACTAACTTATCACATTCCTTGAAATTATTTCTATCAATCTGTGACCATTTTACACGCTTATCAGTCATTCAGTAAGGAAACAATTCAAAACGTGTGGTGAAGTTGGGGAAAAACGGAGGCTTTAATGCTCATTGTCGTTTTTGTCAGTTGATGGCATTTAGCACCCGTCAACGTGGCTCCAATCAAGAGTTCCATCAGGTACTTTAGACGCAGGCGGAGTGTTGCACCATTCACGACAAACCTGGATAAAGGTATTCGTTGATCGATTTATTGTTTCAAGGCCTTTGACTCTTTGGGTGATACTTTCCAAGCGCCATATAGCAAAGCTGGAGAGGAGCTAGCCTTTGCTGAGTTACGCTCGAGTTACGCTCGAAAAACACCGCCCTACTTGATCGTTTTGTGAATAGTAGGCGAAGCTGCTACGACCAGTCCTGGCGAAGTCACTAGTGAAGAAAGAGGAGTGACCAGTGTGGACCGAATGGCGTACCGATTGATGCAGCAAGTGCAGATGCTGGCATGTGTGGTGCGTTACATAGAGCGTGCATCGACGTCAGCTCCCGATGGGTCCACAAATCAGAAGAATAGGGAAGAGGATGTGCGTGCCGCTCAACAGGATGTCCTCCTCCACCTCGCCTTCCTTCGGGATCGATATGCCGCTGTGTTGAAACACTTAAAGGAGGATTAAGATCAATATTTCTCCTTTCCACTTTACTCTCCACTCGTTTGTACTCGACTTCTCATCCCAAAGTGTTGCCTTTTTCTACCGTGTACCAGCCTTTTGGTTTTGGATTATGGCTACTAGCCATATTGAGATGGTAGCCTTTTTATTCCCCAGCAAAAAATAACCGGTTTAGCAACCGACAATATATGATGAGATAGCGTGGCGTACGCTGAAGGGAGTACAAACGACGCACTATCACTGGAAAAAAGCAACACAGTGATCATTCACAAAGAAACGGAACTACTTCCCTATATCCAAGCAACAGACAAAATCTGTGAACGCTGGTTAAACAAGGTTACATATTGCTTACTCCGAGGTAAACTAGAGACGACGGCGTAAGCCACACAAATAAGTACAATTTAGATTGAATAACTAACGGTTGTATACCCGCGAATCGTAAATACGATTCATGAAAGAAGAACGATGCATTAAAAAAATGAGTGTATAAAATATGGAAACAAGTATCGTAGATTCTTAAGAGAATTTACATCAGACTTTAGCCCGAACATCCGCGACATCCACAGTTCTGACATTCAACGACCTTTCCCTCCTCCAACTTTGATTTGGGAACACGACAAACGCAATTGGTACCAAAGTTAGTATCTCGAGGTTGAATACACCGCAGGCAACATAGATTCTCATATCCTTGTTTCTTCCACTTTGCTATCAAGTTAGCATCTGCAATCTTTTCTTTAATGCAGTAATTATAAAGTTCCTGCAAACCCATAAAAGCGAAAAAAAATGTCGAAAGTACCTTGGATATTACCTTCCGCTTAAAGTATAGGTCATAGATATATCGAGACCGTTTGTGATGTATACGGAATATTGGCCATTCTGCTTCAACCTTACGCTTGCCCTCATGAGGGTCAGTTTCAGCCTCTCGCATCTTCCGATTAAGTTCATCAATTGTAGGTTCAATCATTTCCCAGCCATCTGGTGGAGCCTTCTTACTTCGGCGCACAGGTCCCATCTCTTGCTCCTCTTTCTATTCGCATCAACCGCCTTATTTAGCAAATGAGACAAACAAAAAATAGTCACATAAAATAAAAAGTTTTCGTTAAAAAATTATAAGTATTTTGTAACATACTGCTAGGTAAAAATATGATTTTTATGTTGGCGCTTTTGTTGCCACGGCTTTAGTTCCTTTAGATTGCATTGGCGCCTAACTAAGTTAAAAAGCGCCCGTGATGCTCCACACTCTCGCAGCTATTGATTTACTTTAGTGCCTTGGAAATGTGCCGTTGCATAATTCCGTGATACCTGCTGGTTTTGATTATGCTACTAATATATTAGCCAGCAATTTCTTACTATTTTGGATCATTTAAAAGATTTTTTGCTAAGCGCTTAGTAGTTTTATCTGTATTCATCAACAATAACTACATTTTTTCCTCAATTTTGCTTATTAACTGTTATTTTATTTATAAGCTGTTTTGCTTTTATTTGAGAGATTTTTAATTTGACTGCATAAAATTCTTGCATTCTTCTGCCGTCGGCCGCGGGCTGTGCCACTGCGAGGTAATGAGGGCCTTCGTAGCTCCTCTCTCGCGGGAAGGTCTGAGGCATCGCTTTGTCTCCCGTGAAGGGAGTGCCTTTGACAGAGGCAAGGAGTAACAGAAAGGCACTCGTCATGGTCCTTCTGCCCGTGGAAGTCCCTGAGACTGAGGGTGGGTCATGATGAGATGAGATCGGCTCCTCACGAGCGCGTGCAGCGAGATTGGCGCTAATACTAAATTCAGACTATGCTCGCGGACTCCTTTATCAACTAGAGTGATTTTCCATGCACAGACGTTGGTGCCAGCGGTACCCTGAGGTATACCAGGTTCTCCACTAGGGGTAAAGTTTCTTTCGCTAGTTGATTAGGGAGCTCGCAGCAATTTACTTCTGCATCAGGGAGATTGATCACTAGGCGTGCTGAATAATAAGGGGAGCACGGGGTCATGGCGTAAAATAAATTGTGAATGCTCAGAATGGCTTTGATTGCGAGAGTCCTGGCTTAAGAGAAAATGGAAAAGTTGTAACTTCGATTTATAACTTTGAAATCGCACTACCAATCCGTCTCCTCACCCAGCAACACAGAGACTCCCAAAGTACAAAATTTGTTATTGAAAGTGCTTAAAGCTATTCTTTTGTTTCGCATCACTGAACTTTTTATCATCTGCTCTTGAATAAAGTACTTCACTTTATTCAATCAAGTCATTAATTCCAGTCTCCAGTTTAAACGTGCGACATCATGACGACAGAGCAATTGAAACAACTTTAAATTGTGTAATGGTTTTTTATCCTCAACTCTTTGTGTCAATCTTCTGTGACATTAACTGCTCGCAGGGCCCCTTACACACTCTCTTGACCAATATTATTGCTTTAAGAAATTAATGGCACATGTTAGAGGAGCACACATTGATATTGTCGCCCAATAGTCCCATCTGAAGCTTCTTTGAAGCGCATATCTAAATACCACTCAAGAATTCAATTCATTAATTCTTCAACTGAGTATATGTGTGGCTACCATTGCTATTGTCCTCACCGCCATCATTTTCTACTGATTTCTAAATGGAACTTTCAGTGTAATTTGACTTGATAAATAAATTAACGTCTAATGAAAGCTTCTGTAAACAGACACCCTACTTACAATTTATCAGTAGAAATTGGTATTTTTTTGCTTAAACAGGCGCCGATAATTTTGCAGTGCATTTCATTTCCTGGTTGGCTCGCCCCAGTAACCAGTGTTGTGATAACTCGTTCTCATCAGTCATCATTAATAAAGTTGGAGAATAAAGCCGCAATTTCAACTTCATGGGTAATTACCTCAAGAGACTCCTCTAAATGCGAAAATCCGAGGTACTAAAACAAATGAGAAAAATAAAATCGGCGTATTTCTGAAAGTGCTCTTTGATGTTCCCACCTTTGGATTTTACCTCCTAAACAATTTAGTTCTTCGAAGTATTTTCAGTATCTTACTTCAGATTACAGGGACTTATACAATGTACGACATTGTTTGTGCGCACGAATCAAAAACCAGGTAGGTAAGCGTCAGTCTATCATTGTTGCAGTAATCCTAATTTCACTCAAGGTCATTCGAAATTTGAAACTTGACTAGGATGTATGCCAAACCTGAAGGCAAGGATTCAAGCCCATTTATTTCCCTACCATGACTCTAATGATGACCTGTATCTGTGAGCATGATCACTTATGGGTTCGGAAGACTTTGTAGTCTCCGTACTGCTCCACACATCGACGCAGAAATTTTCGAGTCTGACAATATTCGATAAGCCCGTTTGCCCTCACATTGCATTGCTAATAAAATTCTAACATATTATCAACCTGCATTCTTTAAATGTCCGCGTAGTCAAGTCCAAACACCTCGTCTCATGGATAGAAATGTTGAACAAGTGAACAATCTCTGCTCCCTTTTACCGCAAAGGCAGTTTGGTACACATAACACCAGAAGAAGAAGGCTCTTTGCAACGGGGCTGACACCAGCAACCCGTAAAGGCTGTCTAGCAACCTTGAAAAGACACAGCCTGGGAAAGCAGGAGTGCAACAGTTAATGTAAACAAACTGGGAGCAAGCCAACAGGCTAAACAGTGGGGCTCCATTTCGAAGGGCCGAAGACACAAAGCATACTTCATGGCCTGTCCAACAAAAGTGTTGTCCACAGTGGAGTGAAAGAGGAAGCTAAAAGTGCCCGTCGCGTAAATACCCACGTCCTCACCTCCGTGAGTTGCCCAGGGCAATGGAATAAAAGCTGGTTGTTGGAATCGAATGTCGTGCAAGGTGGTGTTGGAGAGGGAAGTTAGGTTTAGGCGGGTGGTATTCACCGCACCAGCCGGTCCACTGGAGTACATCAGCGGAAGCATGCCTTTTCCATCAAGGATCTGATTAAGCAAATGAAAGTAGTTGACTTGCTGCAAAGAGGATAGCCTCCAAGTGTCTGCTGTAAAGTAATGTGCTGTTCAAAAATACATCGCAATAGCATTCGAAGGAGTCACCAGTTCTGATAAAAGGCTACGTCACTTGTGATCTGAGGAGCCTAGGGAACAATGTATCAGAAGCAAATCTCAATAGCATCTTAAGAAGTCTCCATAAGCTAAGAATATCGCAGTGTCAGTATGCTTAAAAATCTTGCCGGGTTGCACTGAATTCAATTTTCACTGTCATTTGTATCTAATAGTTTGCTTTTCGAACTAAGCCACTCATTTTCGCTTTTCACGATCCCGCAAAACCAGATCAGAAAGAGGAATTAACCATGACCAATATGGCGTTTCCTCTAAACTTTACCAAACTTGTGTAGTGTGCAAAGACCAAGCCATTTGATTGGATTTGATCTGCCATGGCTGCGTTGTAAGAATCAGCTAGAATATACTTTTGCTCAGGTCTACAAATCAACGAGGTTGCGAGGAGGGTCTGATCAAACGTTAATTTAAAGCCTTTATACATTAACCTGACTTAGAAGTAACTTCCATGAAATTCATCTGCCTATTACGGAGGTCGCACGAACAATTTGCAGATCCTTTTTTCCTTCATACTTAGGAAACTTTAGGTTCCTCATTGCAGTATGCTTTCATATTGTTCTGATTTGCTAATTCAAACGTGCAATCAAAACTCCATTCCGCCCTTATAGACTTGCTCCAAGCAAGCGTCCAATAAAATAGAAGCAGTCTGAGCAGCCAATCAATTTTAGAAGCTTTTGATTGGATAACTCTCGCCACGAGACTTTAGATTAAATTTATTTGAATTCTTTTGAAATATTTTTCACTCTTTCTTTATATACCCGCCCTCAAATTGTAAACACGCTTTCATGGTGCGAATCGAAAGCTTTCAATTGTGTCACTTAACATATCAAACACAATAAAAACTACTCTAATTTATTTATCCGAAAAAATTAGGTACTGTAAACAAACAACTTTAGTCAAAACTCCTATTCTAAAATTATTATGCAAAAATAAAAACAACCAATACCCACTAAATGGATTACCGACTTCGAGAAGGTTGAAGGACTCACGTATTTAGCGAGTTCAATATTCTCAGTAAGGAGGCTTCGTCTGCGATCTGGTCGACCACCAACCAGCATGAATGAATGTGAATGATCCGCTGTGACTATCACCAATGTTTCTTCAAGATTGACCATTTGTATGGCGGTCTGAATAGCATTCTCAAAAGCCAGTAAATCCAAAAGTGCCTTTCTGTGTCAAAAAAGGAAACAGGAGATCCGAGCTTATTGAGTGTGTACGTGGATTGGCGACTTGACTGCAATCCTCCCTATCTAACCATGATACAGACAAGGTACCTCACTGCTCTGATCTCGGTTACTTACTTGCCGAAGTTGCTGTGATGTGCATGATCGATGCGTGCGCCTTCAACGAAGAGGAAAAATCCCTTGGGCTGACGAGAGAGAATACTTATTGCAGTAGTGGTAAGGTTCGCCAACGATGGCTCATTCTTCCTTCTCTCGGAGTCATAGGGCAAATGGGAGGAGTTCAGCAGGCCTAAAACAGTTTGACTGTATTGGTTTAGGGCTAGCAAAACATGCGATTTCAATGCGTGCATCTGAAGACGGTTGAAACATTCCCAAAAGTGTTTACAAGCCTTAATTACTCCTGAGGCAGCCCTGAGGTGGCTCATAACATTCCATAACGGCCACCATTCTCCAGCAGACTTCAAAGATCCTCAACTCACCGAGAAGATAGTCCACTTCAGAAAAGTCGGTTAGTAGGAATTGGCTCGCATCAGTGATGAGTTTAGCACGGCGACCTCTACTTGTCTGACTGGCCAGCCACTCATTTGCAAGGTTTCGGCCATCCAACCGATCGCCCCGACTTCCGCTGGGAAAGAAAGCGCGGGAACCGCCGCCTAACACCACATTGATGCTTGGATTCCCTTCCACCAACTGTTGGGCGATATCCATAGGTAGTTCTGGGACGCCAGGACAGTCTTTCATCAGCTGCCTATGGTAGTAAAAATGGGTGGCTTCGCCATTTAGCACTATTGCAACCAACGTCATGACGCCACAAAACCTACCTCCATATATTTATAATCAAGTTGTAGGAGTAAAACCCCTTTCCCATTAGTACAAGTTAATCCCCAAGCACTTCTGCCGATAAGAGAACTAAAGTCAGTAAAATGGGATTGGCTTTATGAATTTCCTTATGCGAAATAAGAGCGAGGGTGACAACATTCGGTAGCTGGATTGCAGATAAACAGAAACAAAGTGGGCAAGCGAGAAGTCAGGACGCAATTAGATAACATCAGTATCACAACTAAACCCCTTCAACTCGTTAGCCGGTAAAAAAACAATGGGAGTCAACGGGACACACAAACGAAAAATCAGCGAATCGCTTCCAGCTGTGTCTGACAATAATGATCTTGGTTCCCATGCTTCAACATGTAACACTTTTTTCCTTCTATCTGTACAATCCCTGCAAAAAAAATCGCTGCATTAAATCAACACCATGCCTGGGGATTATGTCTAAATGAGTGGATAAGGCACCGTTAAGGAGCCGAGTGGAGCCAATGAGGCTTGCTAAATAACAATGAGGAGAAGCTTCAAATCGCGTGGATCCTCACTTTAAGCTCTACATCAAGATGCACAAGGGACTAGCATTGAAATTCTGGGGTCCTTTATAGTCAGTAGGTCTTTGTTCAACGCTGATATCACGGGTAGCAGTTGGGATAATGCAGCACTTTAGGTGAAAAGTAAGGATTACCTGTCAGACTCCCAATGGCGCGAAGCCGTGTGAGCAAAAGCCCCAGCAGGGGAGGCGTGAGTGACGCGTGAGGTGGTGACAATTCCCGTTGCCATGCCAGCCTCCACTGCCGCCTCCAGGACGGATTCCACTCGCTCCCCAACTTTATGCTTGCGACAGGACTTGGGACTTACTGCGCCCGTCAAACCAATGACTCCGGTGTTGGTTTTGGTGCCTTGAAAAAGGCTTGACAGCATTGGTTTAAATGATTTTAACAGATAAATTAAGATTTTACAACACCTCCTCTAGTATTGGATGTTCTAGAACACCTATTCTTATTGTTTCGGTGTGGTACAAACTGCCTTGGCTTCACCATCCTCGCCGTTAGGCAACTAACTAGAAACGCTGTCTTTGATCCTCATGACCGTCAGGCCATTGATTGTGACGTTTCTGATAGACTTCGTGTTTAAAATTGCCTCCCTTAAAGTTATAGGCTTAACTTAGAAGGCATTAGTCAGTGTTTACCTCCTACATTACCGCCGGCTCAGAGCCACTGATCTCAGGACTCCAGTGCATCGTTTGCACCATTGTCCTAAATAGTTGACAGACTTGCCACTAAGGTCTTCCATGGAAGTAAAAGGAGCACTTTAGTCTGCTAGAGGACCATGTTATCCACATCTAAGTTGTCCAAAACTTCATAAAAAAGCATCCAAGTTCCTATTAAACAAGAGCTCCACAAGATTCCCTAACATTCAGTTGCAGTTCGATTATCCTCGCTTAGGTGTACAAACAGACTCACCACCGAGATAAGCAGTAGCCGAGCTTGCTGAATCTGTTACGGTAGTCCGCAAATCATATGTTCGGCACATTGTGTGGAAAGGCCAATTCTCAAAAGCCAGAATTGGATTTGCCTCGTCCCACCTATCCTCCACCTCAACTTTGAAAAAGCGACCTGCTGAAATTGTCGGCATACCCATTCCATCACCCAAAAAGAGAATAACATTCTTTGCAGGTGTATGAGGTGAAGAGAAAATCTTGTTGCTCCTCTTAAGCCTTTCTCTAGCTAGACGCTCCCAAAAAGCAGGAGAGATGTCCTCCTTATCCTCTGCCTCCTTACGTCTCGGCGACAGAACTGCTGAAGTGCAGAGATGATTGAGGACGAAAAAGAGGAGGAGGTGTAGTATGAATTTGCTCAAGCAGCGTCCCAACACCATTTTTGTTGCTTATATCGGCGCCTTGCACAATGCTTCACGAGTGTCCGTGCCTGTTGCATTTATAGTTGTGCCGATTGCATGTGTGCGTGCATGCGTGCTTGCCTTCGCACAGGCCCAAGTGATCGTCAGCTTGCGCACACGTTGACACGTGTCAGAACGGTAGGCGACGATTCGCCTCCTTCCCTCCAGATGATAGCCAATTTGAATTTCAAATCTTAACATTATCAGCGCACACTTTAGGACAGCTGCATTGGAGGCACTTTTCCATTCCCTCTTATGTATGCACGATATCTCATTTATGAGCTGTGCCCAATGTCACAAATAAATAAACATTGAAGGAATCAGCTATGTTAATAATGGTCATGTAAAGTGAGAAGTGTCAATTTCCCCTTTTCCTTCACCTCTCACCTGCGGGGTTACTCTGGAGGGACGTCAGGTGCATCTGTAAATGCGTCGCTTGGATTCGAGTCGTTATGGTAGCGATGAGCTGTTGGATGCTGATGCCTCGAACCCCTCTGCAAAGACGAGCTCTGCATTCCAATGTCCCCCCTCACCCCCCGGCGAGAAAACAAAGAAAAAGTGAACAACACTAAATTCAAGGAGGCGGAGGTGATTAGTTTCACTTTTATATAAACGAGCCGAACATTTACAATATGCAACTGATACCCTTTCCTATGTGGCCAATTTTTTTGACGTCAGCAAATGGATGTGAGTCACTACACCTTCTTTCCAAATTCAAAGTCCGCCACCACAGCTGTGCAACATCAAGTCGATGCCAATTTCCGGTGTTCAATCATGCAAACTGCATGTTGGAGAATGCTTCCTCGAGCTTCAGCTTCCCCTTCAATTTTGTTGTTTCAAAAGCTATAACGGTCCTGTTTAGGCCTTAACATTTAAAAAGTGGCTCAACAGAGAGAATCTGTTCCTAATTGTGTAAAAGTGTCCATGAAAAGAATGCATCCTTTTGGAAGGCCTATTTCAGACCATTGGTGTGGGACGAGTGCCAAAATTATCCCCTTGAGAATGGTTTGCTAGGTAAGTGAATTTATGATGGAAATGGCGTGACGAGGTCTGAGTGTTGAGATTTAACTGGGT